ATGAATAAAAGTAAAATAAAAATAAAATTGATTTGAAAATAAAAAATGATTTTTTTTACTTTAATTAATTTAAAATTTTTACCTACGTGACTTTACCGAAAAACCATAAGAATACACACGATTTTACTTTTTTTAGTTTTTAAACCCCCCACACCACCCCCCCCCCCCCGAATAACCATTAATTGTCTTGCTTCACAAAGCTAACGCCGCGAGCGATATGAATCTAACAGTATAATTTAAAAAATAATATTGCGTTACAAACCCAAGGTCAAACACCACCAGCGAGGAGAGACGGGAGTTAATCAAACCAAGAGTGAGACTTCCTCATCTCACACTTCACCCACACACCGACCAGAAAAGTAGACTCATAATAGTAACAAATGTAGTCGTTAAGCCATCACCACCCGACATATCCAAACCAGTCGGGTTTGTCACGTAAACAAAAAGTTCCCAATCGGTTACGACTTCAACACACCGGTGTCGTGGCAACTAACTGGCACGTTTTGTGTCGGGTGGTGGGGGGGGTAAACGACACATTTATACAGGATGCTTCAAAAAATGTTAACACTTGTACGGGACTATGGTTTTTAATGGAAAAATTACGGACAATACACTAACATAATAGAAAAATGTTTATAGCTTCAAAAAGTCTAAGAATCTCCACTTGTTCGCCATCATTGTCAACGCGTGCCTGGAATCTTCTCCATGTGGTCTCCAGAGCCCAGAGGCACACTTCTTATCGTATGGTTGCAAATTCTCAGAAGTGTTAACAATTTTTTTGAAGCACCCTTTATGAATAATATTGGTCGTGAAAGCCTACCACTACATGTTTAAATAATAAAATCAGACCCTCTCGATACCCTCGGGATATCACACCGTGTTCCAACGTAAAGGATTGTAGCCGTTCAAATCCTGGATAATTCCGATCGTTCCGAAGTTTTGCGCTGCGTTAGAACCAGTCATTCTTCATCAAACATACTTTTCAACAAACTTAACTGTCGATTTAAAGCTTTCGTGACTGCAGGGATTCATCTTCTTGGTTCTTTCGGTAAAGTCACGTGGAAGGGAAGTAATAAAATAATAAAAATAAAACATAATAAAATAATTCTCGCGACGTTTCTGCCACAACGCAAGCAGCCGTCCTCAGGTGAAGAACAGGTCTGCTGTGGCCGAAACGTCGTGATAATTATTTATGTTTTATTTTTATTATTTTATTATTTTCCTTCTACCTGACTTGACCGAAAGAACCAAGAAGATAAACTTAACTGTGGGGGGGGGGGGGGGGGGGTTGTCCCTTACAAAATGACGAGGTGAGTGGGGATGAAAGCCAGTTGGCCAAAGGAAACCGGCTGGACACGAGAGATCGGTGGCCACGTGTACGGACGTCGCGAAAGTCACGCCGCCTCGCGACGTCATGCGTCACGTGGGCACGACGTCACAACGTCTGGGCGCGTGACGTCATGCGTCACGTGGGCACAACGTCTGGGCGCGTGACGTCGTGCGTCACGTGGGAACGCCGTAAACACACGTCAAAGTCCATTACTTGGCCCGCCGGGAAATACAATAGTTGAGAGGAATCCTAAACTTATTTCTGTAACAAGTATCCAAAGTTGTCGGTGACAACTTCCGGCGACGATTGCCATAGCAACGGGGTTGGGGGGGGGGGGGCAAGCGTGGTGCATAGCGCTTGCAAACGCCAGCGACAAGAGACGCACGCGGGGTGGAATGGGTGAGCTCCTCCTGCTGGAATTGAATCGCTTTGAGATCGGAACCTTCGGTTGCTGCGACTCTTCTGCGAGTGGTACCTATTGAAGATTCGAATCAAACCGAATGCAGTGGAGGTACGAAACGTGCTTGGGAACAGAGGCGCTGCGCTCGTGGGCGGTGGGCGGAACGCGGAGTTGGGCATTGTTCGGAAACGGCGTCCAACGTTTCGCTCCGCGTGCCACGAGCCTCTTTTTCAGGGAACTACTTTCTGGAAACCCAAGAGGCTCCCGGCACGTGGAGCGAAGCGTCGGGCGCCGCGCCTGTGACGTCGGGATAGCCGCGTGGCGACGCGCATGCGCACCGCGGGAATCTAAACCGCGAGCAGCGGAACAAAAGTTGGATGGTTTGCGGTGCCCCTTCCTGTGGATAGTAATCACGATTTTTACACAATGAACAAAAAAAATCACAATTGCCATCAAAACGGTTACACGGCCGCAGAACAAGGGGCACGCACCCAAATGCAGGGTTACTTTATTCATGCACACGCATCTGCAGAGAGACAGGAGGAAAGAGGAGAGGGGGGGGGGGACCTGCCGAGTTGCACGTAACCAGTCACACGCCGCCGCCGACACGCCCGGGATGTCCCGCACGTCGGGACGTCCCTCACGCATGTACAGGACGTGTTGCGCACACCGGGACACGTCCTATACACGCCCGGGATGTCCCGCACGCCGCAACACGTCCCTCACGCATGTACAGGACGTGTTGCGCACAACGGGACACGTCCTGTACACGCCCGGGATGTCCCTCACGCATGTACAGGGCGTGTTCCGCACACCGGGACATGTCCCGTACACGCCCGGGATGTCCCTCACGCATGTACAGGACGTGTCCCGCACACCGGGACATGTCCCGTACACGCCCGGGATGTCCCTCACGCATGTACAGGGCGTGTTCCGCACACCGCGACACGTCCTGTACACGTCCGAGATGTCCCGCACGCAAGGGCGCACGCGTGGTGTGGAAAGCGCCCCGGCGGGTCATCGCAATGCGTTTGTAAACTGCAAACGACACCGCTAACTTTTTTTTTTTCTTTACACCTGTACACATCAAAAGCTTTGGCCCAAAATATATACCGTGGCCTAAAGGGGTACCTTTAGTTATGCTCATGGAATTCACAATGGAAACACGTGTCGAACGGTTAAAGCAAAATTGACGATCGTCATTTACACCATGATGAACAACCGTCGCAAGTTACATTTTTTTTTCAATTAGGAAGCGGATTTAAACACCGCCGCCGATTGCCGTAATATATCCGCGCCGTCTTGCCCAAGCCTTGGGGCGTTTGCAGCAATGTCGACGCAGATTTTGCGAGCCGTTTAGAAGACTAAAAACGAATAAACTCGACTCCCCCATCAGCAACGGGCAAGCGGCGAATCACATTTGTCGGAGCCCTCCCGGAGAATGGATAACGGTAAACGCTCTGTACAATTTGCGCGTCCTTAAAACGGCGGCAATTACACTTGACGGCCAAATCGACGATTTTATCGTACAAGGGAGAGAGAAACCGCAAGCATCAATCGCTGCGGATTTTCATCCAAAGGTTTACAGAGTGGAGTGAACCGGATCCGAGGGTTCCGGGATTAGGTCCCCGCGACGATGTCCGGAGTGCACGGGGGGGGGGGGGGGGGGGGGGGGGGGGGCAGCGGATCGTCACAACCCTCCAGCAGCATCTGTGAAAACCTTCCCTCAACGTTCGCGTCAAATTGAATTTGCTCCTCTCTTTGGGTGTTCGCACTGCGACGTCCGTAACGGCGAATCGTGCGCAGCAAAGTTGGGGGGGGTCCCCTCGCACGTTTGCGACAGAAACATTCCCGTCTCGTACGCAGGCGTTGTTCCGTCGAGGGATAGAAACTAGGCCAATGTCGAGGCCTCCCAGCAGAGCGGGCGACACACGGGAGGTAAGGAGAGGGGCGACACGGGCAGGTGCGGGACCGCATTCTATCGGTCGGTTTGCGATGCCGGTAACCTTTTTGTGTTTAGTTTGTTGTCCCCTCCCTTCCCCGCACCCAGACCTTCGATTAGCACGGTTGGCCACGTACAAAGCGGAAGTTCAACGTGCGTCACCGGTAAGCAGCTCCATGGATGGTAGCCGCGGCAAAACGGGATGTGACATCACGCATCCAATCTTCTTGGTTCTTTCGGTAAAGTCACGTAGAAGGGAAATCAGAAAAATAAAACATAATAAAATAATTCTCACGACGTTTCGGCCACAACAGACCTGTTCTTCACCTGAGGACGGCTGCTTGCGTTGTGGCAGAAACGTCGTGAGAATGATTTTATTATGTTTTATTTTTATTATTTCCCTTCTACGTGACTTTACCGAAAGAACCAAGAAGATGAATCCCTGCAGTCACGAAAGCTTTAAATCGAAATTTAACCACGCATTCAATGTTTGTCCGAAACAACGTAAAGACAGAGGGCTCCGTCCTCACAAATAACGAGTTGCATCTGCCTACGTCGCATGCACAGCAACACCGCAGTGAGCGAGTGAACGTTGGGCACGAAACGATTCACAGCCCCACCGCGGGACAATAACGCGCGGAATAATCCTGTGTACACGTGGGGTCGCACCTCAAGCAGCTGTACAGAGAGATCGGGTGTATTTATTTATTTAACAGTGGCGGCGAGTCATAGCCGTCTCCGCAAGTCTGTATAATCCAACGTGGATTTCCAAAGCGGTCTAAACGCGACTGCATCTCAAGACGCTGAACACAACGGTGGGAATATTTAGCAGAGATGCGATTTGTCACGATGATCTGGAGGGAGGGAGGCTATCATTCAACTCGAAATGGCTTTGGTTTCCACTACTTTCTCCATCTTATTTGAGTCAAGTTCTCATCTTCTTATTTGCTAAAGATTAACCCCACAACGTTTCAACAAACTGTAAGTAACCAACCCGTATACAACGTGTTAAATAATTGATTACAACACGAACGCAGCGGAGAGGGCTTGATCGATATCGAACTTGAGGATTGATACTAATGAATTGACTACACCGTTGCCGTGCCCGGTGTGTGTAAATATGTAATGGAAGTAAACGCAGCTAACAATAATTTAAAATCTGTGGATCCACTGCTGTATGAAAGCATCCACCACCCGCGCCCGTGTCGTCTGTGACAGCTTCGACGGGAGATTTTTTTTTTCCAGACCCAGAACCGATTTCAATGCAAAAAAAAATAAAATCACGTGAATGTTTTTTTAACGTATATAATAAAGAAACCATCTGACGGTTATCTATACTTATTTTATTCTCTTTCATTATAATACTATAATTACATTCACAAATATTTTGTACAGCACACTATACACCGGTAGTGCGAAGGGGTAGGCAACTACCTTCCCCCTTCCCTACGAGTTTACCATCCATGCCAGGTCACTATGCACTCGACTACACCACACCCACCGCACCACACCGCAAAATGATCCGGACCTCGTACACCAAAGCCCCCTCCCTCCCCACCACCACCACCACCCCCCACCGTTTGAGTGACCACGTGACCAGACTGATTGAATGCGTGCGTCACGTAGTCATCTGACCACAAAGCTGACCAACACCTGGCCAGTCTAATTGTTTCCACCGAGGGGCCAGCGAGCGGTATTCTCGCCGCACGGCATTCCCTCGTTATTCACGACCTTTGGCGATCCGCGAAGTTGGCTATCCGCGAATCACCTCGGGAACTCTGCGCGACTACTGCATCGAGAGAGATAATAAAAGTGATGGGAGGTAAAGTGATGAAAGAGGAAGTGGTGAGAAAGTGATGAGAGTGAATGTGATGAGAGTGAATGTTATGAGCGATAAAGTGATGAGAGATAAAGTGATGAGAGATAAAGTGATGAGTGCGATAGAAGGAGAGAGAACTTCTCGGACGCTAATTCATAACAAAGACAGGTTTTCGGTGGCAAATGTCGTTAGCCGCGACATTTCCTCTTCGCGAGCATCTCCGGAACGTATCCCTCGTCGCGAATAACGAGGGGACACTGCACTCGTCAGAGGCAGCGACGACAGCCGCTGCTCCGCTTCTACGTCACCCGCCGACGCGTTCCCGAAGCGGCCGCGTCTGGGCGATAGGGAAAGGGGACCTGGAGGTCGGGCTGGAGGGGGGGGGGGGGGGGTGTGACGAGTAACGGCGGTGACGGGAAGCACAGGAGGGCGCGGAGCGGACGACGGTGCGCGAGCGACGGGCTACCGTCGGCGACGCGAGGGGACGTTTGCCGGTTGTTTCCGCCCAGACTCCTCCCCGCAGGGTCCATTTACCTTCACCGTCTAAAGAGCAGCGTGCCGCTTGGCGTAGAGGATTCCGTGAACGTGGGAATCGCATCACGGCACCCCCCCTCTACTGCCGCGCCCCCCCCCGCACCACCTCATACTGAGAACGGCAAAGCCAAAACCGTGGCATGGATGGCGAGACAGAGGCCTGAAAGGAACGAAAGAGGTGGGTAAAAATTGTAAAACCACGATGATGGCGGCGGCGGTGGCGACAATGATGGCGGTGATGGTAATGATGGTCATGATGATAATGATGATGATAATGATGATGGTCACGATGATAATGATGATGGTCATGATGATATCGCTGACGCTATAATACTCCTGTAAAGGTCCACGACGCTCCGTGACGACGTATCCCCCCCACCCCCCCGACAATCACGCCATGGGCCTTCTTCCTCGCTGCTGCTCGCCCGTTTCGGAATTGCCTTTGTTCACTCGGGTGAGGTTGTGGCCGGCGCCCGTCTCCGTCAGCCTGCGTGGGCGGGGGGGGGGCGGGGTGGGGGGGGCGGGGTGGGGGGGGCGGGGTGGGGGGGGGGGCAAAAGGAGAGGGGGAAGGGGTGCACAGCGAGAACGGATTCGGTGAAGCGATTGAGAATCAAAATATTTGTTTATACTGTAGGAGGAATCCGATGAGCTATGAAGCTCTTAAATTTCGATTTAAAGCTTTCGTGACTGCAGTTCACGTAGAAGGAAAGCTCTTTTCACAGATGTCCCAGTTAGGGGCACGGGGTCAGAACGTCACAACAACAGACGGTGCAACAGACACGACAGCGGTGACAAGATGACAGGGGAGGTAAACAAATCACCCAAAAGCCATCAAATTAAACCGAACCATCCCCCAATCCTACCAGGCAAAGCCCACCAAGCAATGAACTCATTTTTCAGCAGCAACCTTGGCCACAAATGATAGCTCAACAAAAGCGACTTGTCGCACGGAAATTCATCGCAAGCAAAATCATCAAAGTAACAACGCGACACGAATCTGCGGAGAGCTTTGCATTCAGTGGGCCTCAAAAGGCTGCGGAGAGAAACGGTGGGGCATGTTTGTGCTCGGGCATCCGTTTTTTTTTTACGAATTCGCATACCTGTCAACCCATACGGTTTACCCCGTATTCTCGTACAGGAAAATTTAGTTCAGGTCCATTTGGGGGGTACAGCCGTTTCAATACGGGCACAAAAATATTTTTGTCTATTTGCATGTGTTTCGCCCTTGTGATGGGACTTTGCAGGATGAACGTAGAGATCTATAAGGGCACGGAGTAACGAATAAGGTCTGAATTTGTCTGTAATAAGGTGGGGCACTGATAAGGGCTTGACAGGAATGAATTCGGTATAAAAAAAACCCTCAACATTTTGAGAACAGCAATGCAAGTGAATACGGGACGATGGTCCTTCAACAATAACGATCAGGCCAAAAGGCCTTCAAGGGCCGCCCCAGATACAGCTCTGGATACACGGGTTGCCGACCCCTGTGCTAGAGAGACAGGAAGTCAGTCATAGGGAGGAGAAAGAAAAATAAAGGCCTTGGAGCCTGGATTTGAACGGGGGCAGAACAACGACTGCCCGTAGACTCAGCACTGCCCGTAGACTCAGCACTGCACCATAGACTCAGCACTACCCATAGACTCAGCACTGCCCGTAGACTCAGCACTGCACCATAGACTCAGCACTGCACCATAGACTCAGCACTGCCCATAGACTCAGCACTGCACCATAGACTCAGCACTGCACCATAGACTCACTAATGCATCATAGACTCACTAATGCATCATAGACTCAGCACTGCACCATAGACTCAGCACTGCACCATAAACTCACTAATGCATCATAGACTCAGGAATGCACCATAGACTCAGCACTGCACATAGACTCAACACTGCACCATAGACTCACTAATGCACCATAGACTCAGCACTGCACCATAGACTCAGCACTGTCCATAGACTCAACACTGCCCATAAACTCACTAATGCTTTATAGACTCAACACTGCCACCCATAGACTCAACACTGCAGCCCATTGACTTAACACTGCCCATAGACTCAGCACTGCCCATAGACTTAACACTGCCCATAGACTCTGCATTGCCCATAGACTCTGCACTGCCCATAGACTCAGCACTGCCCATAGACTTAACACTGCCCATAGACTCAGCAATGTCCACAGAGAGCCCTTTCATGACCACGTGTGCCTTCTGTTGCGGCCGTCATTCCTCGGGCCGATGCACGCCCCCTGCCATACAAATCACTCTGTTCATCCATAATATAGGTATTTCGGGGTAGATCGCGTACATATGTTTACATTATATAATATATATTCTTGGTTCTTTCGGTAAAGTCACGTAGAAGGGAAATAATAAAATTATAAACAATAAAATTCTCACGACGTTTTGACTGCAACACAAGCAGTCGAAACGTTTTATAATTTTATAATTTATTATTTCCCTTCTACGTGACTTTACCGAAAGAACCAAGAATATGAATCCCTGCAGTCACGACAGCTTTAAACCAAAATTATACAATATATTCATATTTAAGCGATCTAACCCCAAAAAAAACCTATATTATGGATGATATTGGTCGCGAAAGCCTACGTGTTAAACTCGCTCTGTTCTTGTTATCGCTTTAAAACTCCGTTATGGAGAGCACCTTGAGCTAAGACGCGCTCTACATGAATGTCAAACAGGACGAGACAGGAACGAAAGAGGGGCGCGGGACGTACACTTCATCACTGTCAGAGTCCTCGTCCGTGGGCAGGCGGAGGTAGGGGTTGTCCGATGCCGGGCGGAACCGGTACCCGGTCACCACGAAGAACACCAACGTGGCAGCCTCCTCCATCAGCTGGGAGATGAGGGCAGAGACATCATCGGTAAATATCTTAACACTTCACAACCATACTCTTTGGTTTTTTCGGTAAAGTCACGTAGGTAAAAAATAAAAGAAAAATAAATGAAATCACGACGTTTTGGAGGCAACACAAAACCTTGAAACAGCAATTTTGCTGTGACGGTGCCACCTGACGACGGAAGCTTGTGTTGCCTCCGAAACGTCGTGATTTAATTTATTTTTATTTTATTTTTTACCTACGTGACTTTACCGAAAAAAACAAAGAGTATGGACCCTTGCAGTCACGAAAACTTTAAATCTAGAACTTCACCACCCCCCTTCCCCCAACATGCGATCCGACAAATTGGCAGTGTGTGCGGTTGCAATTTGGGTTTTCAGAATCGGATCATGGTTTTGTTTTTTGGTCTCGTTTTTGCCGTGTTTCAACTCGGATGATCTCCACAGACTCACGCACATTCGCAGTGCTTGTGTCGATCACGATGATTTAGGGGTGCCACAGTGGCTAGGAGATGTTAACTACCTCGCCTTGTATACAGGAGGTCGTGGGTTCGATCCCGATCCTGACGCCTGCTGTATATTTGGAGTTTGCGTGTGTCTCTCTCTCTCATCATCATCACGGTGGCTAGGAGATGTTAACTACCTCGCCTGGTATACAGGAGGTCGTGGGTTCGATCCCGATCCTGATGCCTACTGCATATTTGGAGTTTGCATGTCTCTTTCCCCGTGGTCGCGTGGATTTTTCTCCGGACCCTCCAGTTTTTCCCCTCCACATTTAGAATCAACGTCGCGCGTTTAAGTATTTGGCTGCCGCTATAAATCTCCACACGATAAGCCACTCCGATGAGGTCTCATTTGTGCCCAGGTCACTTTAAATAGTTTAGTTTAAAGTTTAGTTTACAATCAAGAGGCGTGAGCAACTACGGACAAGCGGGAAGGCGTCCAAGCGGCGAGCTGGAGCCAACAATCGCCCAAGCTTTGCGGTCCTCTCTATATATCAAGGTGTTAGCGACCAATGAAAGAGTGTTTACATGTGGGAGGAAACCGGATTGACCGCACGGACGTTGAGCGAAACTCCATTCGCCGTGGGTGGGAGTCTAGGAGGAGCCGTACCGTGGCTCTGCCAGGAGAAGGCGGTACAGCAAAGTTGACGACTAATATCACCTGTTCCGTCCCCCTCGCACGTGTGGGTCTACTGCGGCTGCTCCGGTTTCCTTCCACGTGTATTAAAGGCTCATTATTTGGCTGAACACATCTTGATATATAGAGGACTGCAGAGCTTGGGCAACCGCTGCCTTGCCTGCTTATCTGTGGTTCCTCCGCGACTGTGAGGCATGCAATCTGCGCGAACGACGACGCTGCTGCTTTCTACAAAACGAAAAACCCGATCGTCATCGGACACGTCAAGCGAGGTCGAGAACGTTACGGGGTGAAGTCGGCCGTTGGCGGAACTGACACATTCCAAGCAAATCCATCTCACCTGGTAGAGCCACTGCCACTGGAAGGGGATGGTGATCTTGACCATGATGGCGATGATGCGTGTGAAATAGATGTAGCAGATGATCTGGAGAGGGCAGCAGCGCAATGCGAGGTGAGAGAACGCACACAACAGCGCGGCCTCACTGCAGAAGCGTTGTTCTTCACGTGGTTCACAACCGGCGTGCGTGCGAAGCAGTTTATTGTCGTGCGCATTTAACTTGAAAGCGCCTCGGCCAGGAACATAGCTTGCTACGTGCGCACCGAGAGGCGAGCTTGCTACCGCCAACACTCAAAAGGCATCGCCAGCCGTGAGAAATCCACCGCTGGAGGGCGAAGGCCTCGCCAAGCCTCTGCTGTCACGCACGGTCTTGCGGTGCGACGATCCACCCGGGCACGAGGCGATTTCACCGCTCCATCTCCCGCAGTGCGTGGGCTACCGCCCCTTTGGCTGCGGCTCTGTCGTTAATCTCGACCACCAGCCACTGGAGCTCTTTGTACTTTTAAATCCAGATTCAAAACTAATTTCTTCAGAACTGCTTTTTGTGTTTAGTTTGTTGCCCTTCCCCCGCACGTCCGATGAGCACAGTTGGCTACGGTGCGAAAGAAGTTCAGCAAACATACAGTACATCACCAACCCCTCCCCTTACCCCCCGCCCACTCCTCCCACCATCGTGCAAGTCGTGACGTGTCCTGCCCGAAGCCCCGCTAATTTTTCTGAACTTTCGCTTGGGAAGAGATTAATGGAATACTTATATGCCCACCATCATCGACTAGGCACGTATCATCAAATGCTGGAATAGACAAATAAATGTCAATTACCGCGTGCTGCCTAGCCTTTGCAGACTCAATGTTTGCGTGCGTTCGTGCGGAGTGGTGGTGCAGTGGTTGAGCATGCTGCGCTATGAACCCGGCGACCCGAGTTCGATTCCCGCTCACGGACAACATCAGTGAAGATTATTTGAACCGGTCCTGGGCCTCCCCTAGGTCGACTCAACCTCAAATGAGTACCTGGTGCGGTGTGTAAACATCAACACTAGGGAAACAAATGCGGTTGGGCGTGGTGCTGACCACCCACCCCCTCGTGTGCCGTTCCAGCCTTCATAGGTGCTCGCTAACAGCACTTGCCTCAACAGTCTTAAGGCTATACGGGGGATCTTTGCCTCTAGTCTAGTTTTTTTATGAAGCGATACAGCGAGAGCTGAGATTGTATCTCCAGCGAAACGTCTTGTGCGAAAAAATAGCCAAAATTACTCTTCCAATTTTGTGCGCAAAACCAAACCAAACGGCACATTCGCCCACGTCGGCGACGACGACTTGATGTGATTGGCCTGACTCTGTCAGGCGTTGCAGGGTAATAGTAATAATAATTTTTAAAACGGTTTACAGTATACCTACACACAGTGATCTAACCCAAAATAAACTAATTATAAGTAAAAAAAGCATTGGTTGTGAAAGCCAGGCATAGGTAAAAGTGACTTACCAGGACGTAATAATGCCGGAAGAGTTTCAGTTTTTCAAGACTTATGGCCGCTGCACACAAACAGGTGAAACACAAGCGCACTTCAACAACATAACATAGGATTGAAGCTTTCGCGACTGCAAAAATTACTGTACTCATTGTTTTTTTCGGTAAAGTCACGTATGTCGAAACACAATTAATTTTTTCATTAAATTAAATAAATCGCGACGTTTCGAACGCAACACAAGCGATCATCATCAGGTGGAAATGGGGCAAAACACAGCAAGGAAACACACAGGGGGACACCAAGCACACAGCCGACACACAGAACGGTAAACTGCACGGAGGAAAACAACAAGAAGAAGATGGGAGACGAGAACTCAACAAACCTTAGAAACACAATGTGATGCAAAACCAGTCGGCCAACAACACACTCAGACACTAACCTGGTTGACCACGTATTTCAAAAGACTGCTAAATTTCGAATTCACCTCAACAGTCAATACCGAAGATGTGCTACTGCCCCAGCCGCGTAACTCATGTTAAACTTCTTTCGCACCTTACGTAGCTAACTCGTGCTAAACCGGAGGTGCCATTAGCACGGTAACGCTGGGTTTGCAATCCACCCGTTTTATTTGACGACGGAACTTTCCGCACATTTTGCGAGGACAGATATAAAAAATGAAACGTCCTTCCAAAAAAACTACTTCCTACGCATAATGAACGGCGCAAACTTTTGCCCCTCCTTCATATCCTGCCAGGCGAAAGCATTCACACAATGAGGAAATGTCAAAATACACGCCCGTGCTTTATTAATTCCACCCAACTGCGAACCATTTTTCAAACGTCAGGCTGTAGCGTGCCGGCCTTCATAGGCGCTCAGAAATGGCACTTGCCCCTGCAGCCTGTTGAACACTATAAGGGGGGAATTTTTTTGTTTTATATTTGCGTGAGCCACTCACCCTTCCCGTCAGTGTTGGAGGACTCCTGCAGATGTCGGATGGACCTGTGAGAAGAGCAGGGGTGAGAGAGTTAGGGTTGAGGACGTTTTACATCATCAGCATCAATCACAACAAACCAATAAAGGATATCTCGAGCAGAGAGTGCATGTGCGCATGTGTGGTGTGTGTGTGCGTGGCGCGTGTGGTGTATGGCGTGGCGTGCGCGTGGCGCGCATGGCGTGTGCATGGCGTGTGCGTGGCGAGTGTCGCGTGCGTGGAGCGTGGCGTGTGCGTGCTGCGCTGTCACCAGATGACGGGGAAGAGGATGGCCCCGCAGCAGAGCAGATCGACGAGGAACAGCAGCTCCTTCCACAGCCCGTAGTCGCTGGAGCCTTGCTCCGACGACTCCAGCACGATGTAAGCCACGTTAGCGAGCACCTATTCAGACAAACAAAGATCCCCAACCCCATCGTGTAGCCTTAACAGAGCGTAGGAGCAAGTGCTGTTAGCGAGTAGCACCTATGAAGGCCCGCATGGCATATGACGGGGGTGGGTGGCCAACACGGCGCCCGGCCGCCTTTGTCTCTCCCATTGGCAAATGTTCACTGCACACCGCGGAGTCGACCTAGAGGAGGGCCCAGGACCGGTTCAGATAATCGTCACCGGTGTTGACGGTGGCCGTGGGTGGGAAATCAAACTCGGTGGAGAAATCAAGCAAAACAGATGGCTGGGAAGAGGAGGTGTGGGGTGGAGAGTTCCAGACTATAGGGGGGGCGAGCGACGGGAGGGAGCTCCACACGACGGGGTGGGGGGCAGGCATGCACACGTGGTTACCTGCAGAGGAATGACGACCATGAAGAGCTTCTTGTCCTTGTCGGAGAGGATGTGCTTGATAAAGGTCCAGCCAGTGCCCACCAGCACGATCGTGATGAACAGCAGGGCCCCCTTGAGCCTGCGTTGTGGTTGTCCGTTGGCACGAGCAACCGGGCACGCGGTTAGACAGGACGGCCACAACGTGATGATAGCCCATCGGAGTGGCTGATTTCATCATCATCATCATCACACGTGAGAATGATTTATAGTGACAGCCAAATGATGTAAGCGCGTATTTGTAAACGTGGAGGAGGGGAACAGCCCGTGGAACCCGGAGAGCAATCCACGCGATCACCACAGGGAGAGAGAAAACACGGGGACTCCAGATATACAACAGGTATCGTCAGGGGGCAGGGATTGAACCTACGAAATCCTGCGTAGTGGGCGGGGGAAGTAACATCACATCGCCACAGCGGAGCCCCAAGACAAAACATGATGTGGCCAGAGATGGATTGGGATAAGCAGGGGCAACGCCGGTGTTTGCGACAGGCAGGCCAGCTGTACACTTTACTCACAAGTGCGTGATGTAGTAGACCACGGCCCAGCCCTCGATGGGACGTCCTTGGGTGGAGATGAAGTGGTAGTCGATCTGAAAGGCGAGCGACAGGACGCCAGTTACAATTCGTCGCGCCCCTTCTCAAGGACGACCGCTGCCAAGTTTGCGGTTCGCTTCTCAAAGTTTAAGCGCCGTTTATGAGATGCAAAAATAAATAAGAATATTCGATCCTTGTGAAATGTTCTACGACAGGATAAAATGTTTTTTCGCACTTCCAAGATAAACGATTGTACTCATGACCAGGATAAACATTCACACGTCCTTGACGGCTATGTTTTTTTTCATACATTAACTTAGGACACAACGAAATTAGTGACATGTGATGAATTCCATGCAATCACAGACAGCTCGATTTCCATGAAAACAATGTGTACATCACAGCACACCAATACCAGCGGGCTGCTGAGAAAACAACTGCATTTTTGATAAAAACGGGAAGAACCTTCAACGTATGCAAATAAAGTGAACATTATTTTCTGCTACTTCAATGCAGAACCGGCGTACGATTGCTACTGCTCAAGAAAAAAAAGAGTATTTAATAAAATGATGCCACTCACTGCGTGGAAGAGGAGCGACAGGGCTTTTGTAAAGACGAGCGTCGTCATCAGCCAGTGGATCTTGAACACGTTGGCCCTGCAAGGAACAAAAGAACACAAAATATTCACTCGGACGACAGCGTGGTGGTTGGGGGTGGTGGTGGTGGTGGCGCAGTGGCGTCGCTCGTGCCTCACGTCAGAGGTAGGGCCTGGGTTCGATTCCCGACTCCGGCGACTTTCCGTGTGGAATTTGTAAAAAAAATTCCCCCCCCCTGTTCTGTGTGTGAAAGTGGGGAGTGGTAGTGGAGCATCGTGCTACGAACCCAGCGACCCGACTTCGATTCCTGCTCACGGCCACCAACACCAGTGACGATTATCTGAAGCAGTCCTGGGCCTCCCCTAGGTCGACTCAGCCTCAAATGAGTACCCGGCGGGGTGTGTAAACATCTCCCGAGTGGCGACAACGACGGCCGGACGTGGTGCTAGCCACCCCTCCGCCCCATGTGCTGTGCCGGCCTTGATAGGCGCTGCTCACTAACAGCACTTGCCCCAACGGTCTGATAACGCTAAACAGGAGGTAGGAAATCTTCGTCTTGTGTGTGGAGTTTGTGTATCCTTTCCCCCTGTTCTGCATGGGTTTCCTCCGGGTTCTCAGTTCATATAGCGTCATTCATGCAATTGCATCCCACAACGCTGCACATCCATTATCCAGTTCCGTAGAGAGATAATGCAAAAATAAAACCCCACTACAGTAAAACCTTGGATTGCGAGCATGATTCGTTCCGGAAATGTGTTTGTAATCCAAAGCACTCGTATATCAGTTGTGATCACGTGACGCTCGGCAGACAAAGCGTATACACGTACTACTCGTATTGCAAGACCTCGCTCGTTTATCAAATTAATATTTATTTTAAAAAATTGCTCGTCTTGCAAAACACTCGCAGACCAAGTTACTCGCAATCCAAGGTTTTACTGTACTTGGCAAATAAAAAAAAATCAATGATGGTCTCAGCCTGGTCGTACTGACGACGCAATCCCAAATCGCGTTTTTCGCGAGCTGGTCGTCACGTGGCGTCTGCGCACGCGCCCCGCCGCTGGACAGCCCCTCGTCCCCACCTGTGGCGCCGCAGGACGGACACCCAGACGACGCCGGAGATGAAGAAGATGACCGCCATGCCGACGTAGAGGCGAGGCAGCGGGATTTCTCCGACAGAGAGGTAGCTGTCCAGGTTGAACTCCACCATTTCGATCTGTAGAACCATGGGGCAGACACAGAGATGGCCAGCAGCAGATGTTGGCAACCAGCTCCTGATCTTATCCCCGCCCCACGCAGAGAACAGACGGACACTCCGCGTCTCCTTGAGGGCCCCCCCCCACTCCGCATCTTCTTAAGAGGCCCCCCCCAGGGCCCAAGGCATCCCGACCACGGGCGGTGATATTATCACCAAGACAAAAATGCCTCCTCCCCCCACCCCCATATATTCTGAACAGACTGTCGGAGCAAGTGCTGTTAGCGAGCAGCACCTGCGAAGGTCCGGGGGGATGGGGAGATGGGGGGATGAGGGGGGATGGGGGGATGGGGGATGGGGGGATGGGGGGGATGGGGGGGATGGGGGGGATGGAGGGGGGACTGGTGGGGGTACTGCACCTCCATGGTGAAGGGGGCGAAGCGCGAGTCGCGCTTGCCGTTGTCGCAGTTGTGGAAGAAGAACGTGTAGAGGCCGGCCGCGCTGGCGCCCGTCATCTCCACGACAAACTGCGGCAAGAGAGAGACGGCCAGTCACCAAACGATCAGCGCAGACAGGCGGAGGTTTCCGCCGGGTGGTGGCGGCACGTGTGCCAACCGTGCCACGGAAGGTTCCAGAATCCGGCATCCCGCCCTGGTCAATACTGAGGGGAGCGCATTGACGTCAAAATACTCCGTCCTACGGCACCATATTTGGAACGAGCAGGCCCACCGTCGTGTGCGCCGGCATTACTTGGCTAAATTTTTTGAAAAATTACACCGCAAATGACCTCCGTTGGGGATCCCAAGTCACACGATCTCTCCGTGCCGCGACACCACGGCACACGGTGCCTTGAGAAACGCAACGGTGGCGCAAAACGCCGAATGCACTAAATAGTTAATTATGAACGACCACCAGATTAATAACATGTATGTCCAGTCATTTTTTTGTCAATCCGCTGCTGGATGCGGGCCTCCCGAGACCATGCGGGTCTATTTGACCATACTTATACGCGTTGCTTCATGAAGGCCGGTATAAGCATAGATGCGGGAGCGCAGTAGTATGGTACAACAATGGATATGGTTGCACTGCCCTGTGCTGTCCACCCACACAACCTAGCAGTCAGTTACGCGACTGCTTTCAAACGCCACACGTGACTAACGCTATCGTGTGGCACACAGATGTAACGTACGTATGTTGAGCTTCTTTCGCAGCGTACGTAGCCAACCGTGCCAATCAGAGGTGTGGGAAATCGGAGGGTGCGTTCAGTGTCTACGGATGAACGCAGTTGCACGGAGACAAAACGACCCCCCCCCGTAGAGACAGGAGCATGGAGATCAGTTCCCGCATGACAGTGAGAGGGACGGTAGCGGCACTGAACTGCAAAGGGACGGCGGTGGCGAGGCGTTCATTCAGCAGCGGATAGACAATGGCCGATCATGACGACAGGATAGAACGTTCGATAATTACCACGCGTGAACATGGCGATAGCGCAGTGGACCCAACCGGTGACACAAACACCGCACGTTTCCGTTAAAGCAGCAGCAAAGACAAAGATCAGACTTTTGGGGCAAATGCTGTTAGCGAGTAGCAGCACCTATGAATGCCAGCACGGCACACGAGGGGGTGGGTGGCCAGCATCACACCGGGCCGCCTTTGTCTCCTCATTTGAGGCCGAGTTGATCTCGGGGGAGGCTCACGACCAGTTTATGTAAACGTCACTGGTGTTGTCCGTGAGTGAGAATCGAACTCGGGTCGCCAGGTTCAAAGGGCAGACCGCTAACCGCTACACTACCCCTCCCAACAAACACACACACACCAATACCAATAGCCGCCATTTGCCACTAGGTGATGGTGACGTCACCACGGCGCCTATGCCAGGCCAGGTGCACTTTGAGGCCACGTTAAGTGTCGAAGGCTCGCCGACACACATACACGGCTAGACACAGACACGCACACGGCTACACACACACACACAAGTACATACGCACACACGGCTACAGACACACACAAGTGCATACGCACACATGGCTACACACACACACTTTGAAAGAATCGCCACGGACAAACAGCACGAGTGGACGAGCAGCAGGCGTGGCCTTGCCTCCATGGCGTAGGTCCCGTCGGTTTTGTTGAACCGGAGTGGCAGCAGCTGCACCGCGGGGTTGCCGGGCACAGCCGGTTGAGATTCTTTTTTCTCCTCCTCCTTCTTATCTTCCTTGGGAGCCTCCTTGGGAGTGTCCTTGGCAGCGGCAGCGGCGGCGGGATTTTCCGCTGCGTCCTTGTCACCTTTGTCGGCGTCCCGTTTGGAAACGTGAGAGGTATCCTTGGGGTCGGAAGGCACTTTGGCGACTGTCTGGTCCTCCTCTTTAGGCACATCCTTCTCCGTACCGGAGGCGTCGCCACCCTAGAGATGCACGCACACACACAGACAACCCGTATAGCCTTAACAGACTGTTGGGGCAAGAGCTGTTAGCGAGCACCTACAAAACCGTACAACTATTAAAACTATGAACTATCTTTATCTTACCAGGTAAGGCCCACTGAGCTAAATCGATCCTTTTTGAAAGCAACCTGGCCATATACGATAGCACAACGAAGTGGTTTATCACGTGCAAATTTACAGCAGCCAAATACTCTAAATGCACGTTGATTCTAAATGTGGAAGGAAAAACCGGAGGATCCGGAGAAAAATTCCATGCGAACCACGGGCAGAACATGCAAACTCCAAATATACAGCAGGCGTCGTGGTCGGGATCAAACCCATAACCTCCTGCATACCAGGCGAGGTAGTTAATATCTTACCACCATGGCGAGATGTTAGCGAGTACCACCTGTGAAGGCTGACATGGTACACGAGGGGGTGGGTGGCCAGCACCACACTCGGCCGCCTTTGTCTCCCCAGTGGCAATGATTACACACCGCACCAGGTACTCATTTGAAGCTGAGTCGACCTAGGGGAGGCCCAGGACCGGTTCAGATAATCGTCAAAGGTGTTGGCCGTGCTCGGGAATCCAATTCCAGTCGCCGGGTTCATAAACACACAGAGACACGTAGATACACACTCAGACACACGCAGACACACACACAGACACACGTAGATACACACACAGACACACGTATAGACACACAGACACACGATGATACACACAAAGACACGCAGACACACACAGACACACGTAGATACACACATACAGACACACGTAGATACACACACACAGACACACGAATAGACACCCACCTCCTTCGTGCCATCAGCAGCCGTGTCAGCCGCTGCCCCCGCAGCGCCGTCGCTCGGTTTTCCGTGGCTCGCGGCCTTCACGGCGGCGGCCGACGGCCTCGTCCGGTTGTACTCGCTCACGTTGCCGAAGACGCGCAGAGCGTCGCCCAGCGTCTGGTTGCTCGGGAGTTTGATGACGACGCTGCGGAGGGCAACGCCAACGAACGTTTAACAGGCGGTGCACGCACGTCGGTTTCCGCCGCTCCGCTTGGAACCCCCGAGAACCACGAGCAGTGGATCGATTCGGCAACTCGACGAGAGTTGGCAAAACCATTCGCCACCAAGTGACGGTGACGTCACCACGGCGCCGGTGCCAGGCCAGGCGCACTTTGAGGCCACGTGACGTGTCGAAGGCTCGCTGCTGCCAAGAGGTCACGGGACAGACCCAGGTGCCGTGGGTTCACCGACTGAGATGACTGGCAGGTACACCAGCTGTGCCAACCCCGACTGTGCCGTACAGACAGCGGTGGCGGAAGTCGCGCGACACCCATGTGGGGATTGACGCCAAAACTGAAAAAAAATATAAGAGGCCGCAGCGCGTCTAGCGTCGCAGTGGGCCCGTGGATCGCGGTCGTCGAGAGAGAACACGTGTGCCGATACGTGTTCTCTCTCTGTGTATCTTTATGATGTCTGTCTGCTTATATGTCTGTCTATAGTTTTCTGGTTAGATTTTTGTTGCTATTTCTTTTATACCTGATGATGATTGCTTGTGTTGCAATCGAAACGTCGTAGTATGCTATTATTTAATTTATTATTTTATCTTTATACGTGACTTTACCGAAAGAACCAAAGAATAAGACGGACAAAGCCGGCGTGGGGCAACGCGCGGCGAGCGATTGGTCGGGGCGGCGCCCCCTCCGCCAAGGAAACGAACCTGCTGCGCGCGAAGTCGAACGTGAAGAGGGTGACGGGGTCGTGCGTCTGTTCCCGCAGCATGCACCTCTCCACATCCGTCTCCTTGCGCGCACCGCACAAAAACAAATATCCCCACCCCCCCAACGCGTACAGCCTCAACAAGCACACCATTGGGGGAGGGGGTGGGGGCAAGTGCTGCTGCCAGCAGCGAGTAGCACCGATGAAGGCCGGTGCGGCGCACGAGCAGGGTGGGGCGACCAACACCATACGCCCAGGCCGCCTTTGTCTCCCCATTATGTACAGCACCAGGCAATGGCAGTCAGGATTTTCAGGTAGGGGGGCAAACCCTCAGCAATGAGAAATGATAGAAGTTGTTAGTAAGTAAGGACCTGTCCCTTGCTTTTTATCCGACGCGTCTGCGGCGATGGCGCAGACATCGATCGAGGGTCGAATTCGAACCGCGTTGTGTGATCGGCATCGCGCTCGCTGAAGGTGTTGATGCCTTCAGGGAAGTCGTGTCCTGTATACGCAACTGTGCACAATTCTGTGAGTCACTTATAACTGCTTTGCCGTTACTTATTGCCAATTATGGACTCAGACTATTGTCCTATCATCTCAAAGTCCCTGGCACATAATAATATGCTACACAGTGGCAGTGGGGGTCGCAAAATGCCGATTTATTACTAATAAACCCCAATGATCCGATCGAAATTAGGGATTTTGATCGGATCATTGGGGGGGCACGTGCCACCCAACCCCCCCCCCCCCCCACTGGCTCTGCCCGTGGCACCAGGTACAGTAGAACCCCTCTTAACGACGGTGATTGGTTCCACGACACTAGTCGTTAAGTGATTTGGTCGTTAAGCGAGTATAGGGAATACACGTTAAAGGCTTAATTCGTTCCGATAGCATTAAGCGTGACCCTTTTTCACCCAAAAAACGTACATTATCATATTTAAACAATGGATCATAATATATAAAGATACCAACAACATTATAAACATATAATTTTAAAAGAAACATGGTTTATTTTCATAGTTAATTGTCGTTAACAGGGGAATGGTAGGTAAGCAAACACATTGGGCTCTATGGAGGCACTACACTACTACACTATGATACAGTACTGTACACTAAACTACTATACACTACAGTAAACTACAATATACACTACATTATTATACAGTACTATACGCCACTATACACTACACTATACACTACGTATTGGGCTCTGTGGAGGCCTGTCGTTAAGTAAGCGATTAGTCTTTAACAGGGGTGGTCGTTAAGGGGCGTTCTACTTGTACTCGAGTCCTCGTAAGAGAGCCCCGGGACCGGTGTGATTATTAACCGGTTGTGGCTAGGATCGTAGCGCCAAGCACTAACCACTGCGCTACCAAGTGGCGGTGACGTCACCACGGCGCTTGTGCCAGGCTAGGTGCACAGACACACACGCGCATAGTTAACGAGCCATTAACCGTGGACAGGTTATCGGGGTTGCAAGTTATCCGTGCCTGCGCTAAAATAAATATAATATCTTTTATTAGGTTCCCCAGGGCACCACCTGGCGCCTGGTGGTTTGCTCGTGGCAGTCACCACTTCCTTACCAGATAGGAGGACAGGCCGTCGTTCTTGGCCTTGTAGAGGCTGAACCCTACCTGCAGACGACACGAGTCCGTGAGAGAGAGGGGAAGGGAGAGAAAGAGAGGTCAACACCACTTCAAGGCAGTGTCTAAACATGCACCTTCTGAGCAAATGGAGTGTGAAATATTAATGATTTACAGCTATTTGTCAGCACCACTCTCGTATGAAGACATCCCCCATACCGTGTCGGTTGTGGCAGTTTGTTTGGCAATACTTCACCACGCTGGTCATCATTGCAGGTTGGCGAAGGGGAAGAGGTTCTTAAGGGTCGGGGGGGAGTGAGGCTCATGGCACGAGAGTTTGCAAGACCGTTCCATTTCTATTTCTTTTACGGCTGTCCTTTCTCAAGTGGGTGTAAAACTCGATATTCCTGCTCGGCCCTCATTCCGGCGGGGGGGAATTCGGCGCTGGCCCAACAAGTCAAATTGTCCGCCGGAGAATTCGCGCTGCTGCCCCACACATCATCGGCCAATTCGGGGCGACAAAAAATATCTAACCGCACAGTTGATTCCTCCACCAACGTGGAGGACTCCCATCTACCAGGAGACTCTCTGTTCCGTCTCGTCCGTACGATAGATCCAACTACCGCACTGCAGGTCACAATAACACACTCACTCATCCACCCAACCACTCATTCATCCAACTATTCAACAACAACAACCGCTGCCATTCGCCAAGAAGTAGCGGCGACGTTACCACAGCACTTGTGCCAGGCCAGGTGTACTTTGAAGCCACGTCAAGTGTCGAAGGCTCGCTGACAGGAAGTGACGGGACAGACCCAGGTTCCATGCGTTGACCGACTGAGATGACTGACAGATGCATCAGCTGTGGCCCCTCACTATGCCAACTTGCCACATTTTAGCCGCCCGGCGCTCCACTCATTGTTGAGCACTTTGAAATTCCCTCCCATCATCTCTTTTTCGCTAGCTCATTATTATTATTATAACCTTGTTAACTCTTCATCTTTTACAACCGTGACAGTGCTACGTTGTTGCTGGCCAGTTAATATTTTAAGCCTTCGGTCCTGCACCCAGCAACGTGATGGCAACACAGAGACACACACACATGTGTCACTCGCTCTTCCATGTGCGTGCGTCCGTGCGTGCGCGTTCTCACCGACTTCTCCGCCGGCTTTGGGTTGCCCAGCTTCAGCAGCGTGAGACGCACAGACAGAGTCCCTCCCTTCTCGTAGCCGAACGTACTCAACTGCACCTGACTCCTGGTGTCTTCCTGTTGTAAACATTCAAACGCACGCGCGTACACACACACACACACGCAAGCACGTAATATTGAGTGCAAGTTCAAGTGTTTTGTTTATCCAGGAGGGAACTTGAGAGGCCAAGAGAGTCCCACTGGCATCGGTGACCCGGGTCGCCAAAATGACAAAAATATATTAATTAATAATACAAATCGGAGCAAAAACAATTGTGGAGAAATAGAAAGTACAGTCGATCATCGATTATCCGCTGGCTCCAGGGGGAGGGGGGGCTGGAGGGGGCCGTCGGATTTTCAAGAACGCCAAATAATCACTGCATCGTCGTTATTTAAAACAGCTTATTTTGCACACTCTTGTATTTTACATGATGTTTTTAGGCGTCACATTGTGTTTTAAATGTGTTTACTATACGAAAGTGGGATAAATAAATAGACGAAAATAAATATTCTACTGTAAAAAGTTACTGCTTTTACTGGACCATACTTGCCTCTCCAATCTCGAAGACTCTGCATGGGGTGATGTACATACGTGCAGTATATTCATTGTTTTAAGTTGTATGTACTGTGTGTAATATTTAACACTGAAATCAAGCGTAGGTCCTTTTTTTGCCACGCACACGGTGCCGCATTTGCCAGATCGGCCCGGGACCGCCAAATAAAGTTGGAAGGGGGATAATCACGCGCCGGATAATCGATGATCAACTGCACTGCACAAACACGAATTACTATTGAAGAAAATATGTTTCCCGTCACAAATGTCAGCTCGCACGCCATTTCTTTTTATTTTACAGTGTCACAAAATCGACGGTAGGTGTAAGCACTGCCAACGTCTTCTGAGAAAAACACAAGACAGACGAGACTTAAACAATTAAGTGTTGAATTGAAACACGAGCGTCAATCGCGACGGTTCAAACCCCGACGACGACGCTTGTAAATGCCGAACGAAGCTTACAAGAAGTCAGAAGCAAACATTCCGTAAGAGACGCAACGCAGAAACTAACACGAAACTATTTTAATTTTACCAGGCAAGGCCTACTGAGCTATATAGCTGTCAGAAGCGACCTGGCGACGAATGGTAGCTTGAAGAAATGGCATTATCACGTGAAAATTTATACCAGCCAAATATTCTGAAAGCAAATTTCTTAATGTGGAGGGGAAAAAAAAACAGAGAACCCAGAGAAAAATCCACACAAGCACAGGGAGAACATGCAAACTCCAAATGTACAGGCATCAGGGTTGGGACTGAACCAACAACCTCCTGCATACCAGGCAAGGCAGTTAACATCTCACCACCATGACACCCCATCAAGAAAATCCCTGGCATCAGCCTTCCACGAAGCACATGGGCAGCAACCCTAAACCGCATCCACTGCACAAAAACCATGGCAGCAGATGTGCATATTTCATCTCACAAATGGAAATAAATAAATCTCTGGTACAGTAAGCGACTGCGGTCACCCCGGAACAGTACCGTGGAACACACAACGGCTCAAACGGCTCAATTCGTCATCCTCATCATCACGGCGACGATTGCACCGCTCAGCGACTCGTGACGCGAATACGCGGCTCGTTAACCCACGTCGGCGTGACGTTACAGCCGTTGCTCTCCGTCACGATTAACCGCGCCAAGAAGACGTCGTTGCACTGTGGCGTGGGACAAACATTAACGTTGGCAGCAACACCGATACGTGCGAGCACTCTCCCCCAACAGTTCTGCCCTGCCCCGGATTCCGCAAAATGTCACGAGTCACGGTCATGGCTTTTGAATTCGTGGTCACGATTCTTGTGCCATCTCATTGGCACCGTCCCCTCTTGTTTAGACTGCCGTCTGGGCTGCTGTGCGCGCCACGCATGTCATCGCACCGACGCATTCGTACGATCGGTGCCCTCTCATATGTTCCGTCTCGCTCACGGTTATATCTTGCGCTATTAGCCTAAGAGAAAAGAAAAAAACACTTGACTTTGCACAAATTGTGAAGAGTATCAATTCTGGCACGCACGATTTGAGGAATGCACCACGAGCGAGAGAAGTGATATTAATTATCTCGATTGAAAACTCATTTCTTTAGAACGACTTGTTGTGTGCGATGTTTAGTTTGTATTGTCCCTCCCCCACACCTCAAATTAGCATTGTTCGCTTGGTCCGGTGAGAAATAAGTTGAACATACATACAAAGGACAGCTCCGGCAATGGATGTTGCACCACCCTCCACTGGTGCCCACATCGTATCCTGTTTACGGTACGTGCCCGGCACAAACACTCGAGCGGTGAAAAGGAAGCCGATTTTGTATCATACAACAAGTCGCATCCCTGAAAATCTGACACGTGTCGAAGGGACGGGTGTTGAGATTGTTCCTAACGGTTGAGTTTTTGCGTGAACGTCGTCGGCAGTGGCGAGCGGCAGCCGACCGCCCACTACGACGCTCCTTCTGCGACACAGGGGTCAAACACCTTGAAGAACAACGCAACCATCAGCGAATAGTGCGCCGACAACGCAGACACCAACACACGCTGCACCAGAACCATCCCAGCCACCAGTCCCAGGCCTTCCATGTCCCGGCTGCGGCAGGATACAGCGGCATCATCGCCAGCAGCGATAGCCGCTTGCAAATTCGTTTACCAACAAACGTTATCTTCGTATCGATGGACTGCCATAAGCATAGGCAAGGTGGTGAGCGGCACGTCGTCGTGAGGAGGCTCATCCCTCAGCGCAAGTCATCTCGCAGTCACGAGGGCTGCGCGCGTTGCATACGCTGAATCTCCTGCTCTGGCAGAGCGCGTGAATGCGACAGCCCACTTGCAATGTTTTAACCAATGGATAAGTTAAGATAAAAACTATTTTCTCAGTTATATTCCGAGCGGGGTGCGCCTTTTAAAGAACGGAGAGAGACGCACACTCGGAGTTCAACTGAGAGGCAGGAAGTGGAACGTGGATGTGATAACGTATAGAAGTTCGAGAACATATTGATTCAAGATGAGCAAGTGGGTTTGGGCAGGACGCATTGCTGGGGGGAAGGGGGGGGGAGTTGGATGATGGGCCGATGGTCAAGACCAATGATCGCAGTGGCGTCTCCCGTGTACATGGAGCGATGTCATCGGCTCGTGTATTATACGGTCGTGCACATTACACACAAAGCGGTTGTCACAAATGAACCACAACACCTCGCTGATATCGTCAAGGAGCATAAACCATCACGCTAATTCCCGGTCATCCTGGAAGCAATTTTTGCCGAGCCATCGAACAAAGATGGTGACTGCACTGCGGGCGTTCAGATTCGCTTCTGCGGCCACCTGAAACGCTCTTCCTTCCGATGCCACTGGAGCTATGCACTTTTAAATCTAAATTGAAAACTCATTCCTTTAGAACTGCTTATTGTGTTAATTTTGTTGTCCTTTCCCTGCACCTCCAATTAGCACGGCTGGCTGTGTACTGTGCGAAAGAAGTTCCACATACATACACAAGTATGTGTACAGGTGCTAGGTGGATTGTTACATCCCAAGACTGCGAGATATGGTGTCGGCTTGGGAGGCCTTCATCTAGCAGTGGATTGATCATTGCTGATGATGATGGTGAAATGGGGAGGGGGGGGAGAATTATTACTTACGTCTTCTTTAACCACGCTTGGGAAACAAACGTTTACTTCTTCTTCTTGGTTCTTTCGGTAAAGTCACGTAGAAGGGAAGTAATAAAATAATAAAAATAAAACATAATAAAACAATTCTCACGACGTTTCGGCCACAACGCAAGCAGCCGTCCTCAGGTGAAAACCAGGTCCGTCGAGGCGACAGAGTCTGAATGAAACAGCACACGAGCTTGGAGCATATATATAAGCTGGGCGCATTGACAAAGGAATTTGCATATCAAAAGGAATTTAGCATATTTATGGGAAATGCAGGAATGTGATTAGTACTGCATATGCATGTGCATTATGCAGGATTAACAGCATCAAAGGGAGCTGCAGTTACTGCTGCTGCAGCAGTTGCTGCTGCTGCTGCAGTTTCTGCTGCTGCTGCAGTTACTGCTGCTGCTGCAGTTGCTGCTGCAAGTGCAGTTTCATTCAGACTCTGTCGCCTCGACGGACCTGGTTTTCACCTGAGGACGGCTGCTTGCGTTGTGGCCGAAACGTCGTGAGAATTGTTTTATTATGTTTTATTTTTATTATTTTATTACTTCCCTTCTACGTGACTTTACCGAAAGAACCAAGAAGATGAATCCCTGCAGTCACGAAAGCTTTAAATCGAAACGTTTACTTGTTCGAGAAGGAACGTTAGCCACACAAGACCAAAATGTTCACCGCTCAAAAACTGGAAAAAACCGAATTGAGTAAAAAAAACACGAAACGCATCAGAAGTGGGTAGTCCGAAAATCCGATGCTATTCTTGCACATGGCTGCAGCAGCAATCTGTTCAGGAACCAAATACCAACGTCGAGGGCTGCTGGCAATGACGAGAGGGCTTCAGGTCGACGACAGTCCGTGTGGTTTTGTGGTTCCTCTTCCGTGGAACGAGTGCTAAATAGCGTGGTGTAGTTTTTCCAGAAACAGTCCTGTGATGGGCCACATTTACATCTTTTCATGTTACCTTAAACACACACAACTAAACCCCCCGCAGGCGAAATTGACATCGTGAATTCAAATCCAGATATAAACAGCAGAGTTGGGAAAACAAAGTCAGGAATTAAAGAAAAGGTGAGAGGATTAACTGTACCGGATTATAAATTTACATGGCGTTAACCGCAATCTCAAGATGCTGGTCAGAGAGAGGGCAACGTTTGTCACCGGTAAAACACGGAGGCTTATTCACCATAAAGGTTTCTGGGTTAGACGTGGTTTCGTTATCGCTGCTGACCTGAACGCCGCAATCTATGCCACCCCAAACGTTCCATCCACACAGGTGGGGAGAGAAAAAGCGGGGGGGGGGGTTGTGGTAGAGGGCGGACCGCCTGCGATAGCGCGAGATTATTAGGCTGTGAAATCGTCAACGCGCCAACATACTTAAGCAAACTGCGCACGAAC